AATGTAATAGTTCAATAGTTTCTTCTTTCCTAGATGACCTTTTACCATTGTTTTTTTTTTTTTTCTGGGCGATCGAGAAGCGTCAATAGTAGTTACATCAGTCTTGTCATCGGCATTGTCCATTTACTCATTTTCATGAACTATAACGTCTGTTACACTTATTTTTCAGTATTTTCTATTTCTGGTTGGTTCAGTAACTTTTGAAGCTGCATTACATTCGCGACAAGGGCATTTGCTTAAAAATGCCACCTCCAGTTTTTTTTATCTTTTTTTAAATCTTTCCGAACTTAATAGCATTTTAGAAAACTAACTAATAAAAACATACAAAAAATAATTTTAATTTTAACATACTTTTTGCCAGCCATCGGAGTCTCTAATCAGAGGCCCGTTTACATTTAATTTTGTAGCAATGGATTCCCAATCTGATTTAAAATTAGCAAAACGTGATCTTTGGTAAACCCTTTTGCCAAACATATGTTTTTTCCAACTCGGAAACCAACATTTCAAATTGTTTTGCTGTTGTTATTTTCATGGTCGACTAAAAAAATACAATGTCGTCACAATTTTTCACGGCGACAGATATTTTCAAAAATCGACTTCACGTCGACTGTTATATCGACAATGATAATAGCAATCATTTGTCGCTATCGACAAAAAACGAAACCCCTAATATCATTATTGTCGCCTCGACTTCATTTTGCGACGCCGACGACAACAGTAATAGGGCCGAATAGCAATCATTCATCGCTATCGACAAAAAAACGACAACCCTAATACCGTTATTGTCGCCTTGATTTCATTTTGCGACGACTACGACAACCGTAATAGGGTCGATTAAATCACTTAAAGTAAATTTTAAAATGAAGAAGGTAGTTGAATAGCAGAATAAAGTCATTTTAAGCACCAAAAACACCTGAAAACCAAACATCGTTATATATTTCATAAAAACACTTTTTAATTTTTACAAACCATAAATTAGATTCTAAAATATTGCTCAGTTAAAAAAAAATCGCTTAATAAAAAAATATATATATGTGGGTTACTACTATAAACATTCTTTTAAGGACTTTAACCATCGAAGGATTTAAACCAGTCTGATATGCAGACCACGTTATAATACTTCTGAGGGGAAAGAACCCCAACTTGCTGTGTAGAAGGGCCGAATCGGCTCCGAAACTTGCAAACGACTGGACCGAGAGGTCTTAACGTTAGACCGGAAAAAACTTAAGTGGAGAGACCACATCCAAGACAGAGCAAACAAAGCTCATAAATGTTGGGCAACGTGCAAAAGGGGTTTCAATCCATATATGACACACTGGCTATTCAAATGCGTAATTACATCTATGGATAAAAAATATAACACCAAAATATTACAGAAAGTCCAACGAATGTGCTCCTTAAGCATTTGCGGCGCAATGAGCCAACTAGGGCATTAGAGACAATTTTATTAGTGCGCCCAATACGGTATGAAGCGGCCGTCGCGCGCTTTGGACAACGAACAAGTGGATAAGTAAAGGTCACGTTACATACTATCAAAAAATTTACAGGTAACAACAGGAGAACCAATAGAAAACTTTGTATCGGACCGTATATCTGAAACAATTGTAGCTGCCCCATATGAAACATTAATTCCTACCAGAGACTCGTGAATCGGCGGATCCCTAGCGCAAATGCCGACTGGTAACTATTGTTATACAGAACCAAATACCGTAATCTCTTTCAGCTTGACCGATCACCAGGTACCAGGTCATGCGGGAGTTACAGGTAACGAGATAGCGAAATCGCTCGCTCGAATTAGCAACAATAAACACACATATCCCTATTAGACAATGGGGGTGTAGGGAAAACCACAAAAATCCTATGGGCCGACCCCAATGAGATAAAAACGAAGAACCTTTTATTATTAGGTAGGAAGGAGATTAGTGAGGTAACAGGCATCCTTACCGGGCACCTGGGACTACAAGCTCATCTGTACAACATAGGATGACGAAACTTTATACTGTAAACTGCCCGTATTCTTTCAAATACTTTTAGTCTAGAGCGCACAACAGTCCTATAATGGCTTAAGTGTATACCCATCAGGGCACGCGGCGAATTGTTTGACCCATAACCTAACCTGGAGTGTGTGGAACTTAAAGGCTTTTCATGGTGGATAAGGTTTCATCGAGCGCGTCAATGGGAACGATATTCTAAAGTCTGTATCCAACCAAGGATTTTTCTGATATGGACACAGTTTTTTCATTATCTGCACAAGTCCGCTAGTCAAACAAATGATTGCAGTTATAGAGGAATTACCAGTGAAAGTAATTTTAAATTTCATCACTTATCATTGCTCATGGCTTTCGTAGTGACTTCAGAACTACAACAAATTTCATAAAATGTACGTCAAATGTAATAGAAGGTTTTGTTCAGCGTAAACTGATACCTTAATTTAATAGCTCTATCTCAAATTTTGCGAGGTATAGAGCAAAATATTGGAGGCCCTGTGTATGATTATCTCTTTTGGGATTTTGATCCACTAACCGGAAACTATCCACTTAGTATTTCCACAACCTCCAGATTAGCTGTTGCACAGTGTATTTACTCACATTTGCGCATAGTCTCCCGATATAAGGTATCCTGAAGGTTTCAAAGAATATTCTGGAGGATATAAATGATTTTCTTACAAAATTTCCAATCCGCTCTACTATTTTGTATAGACCACATATTGCAGTGCAGAATTTTGCATTTTGAGTTTTCATTGGACGGGTCATTGCCACATAAAAGAAGTAGGTCCACGTTTTGATATGAAGCCCATGACGCTGTATCGGCCACTTTGTTTATTTGTATGTATTCGCAACATCACAACATGAAGCACAATGTGGGTTCAAGGGTAGGAAAGATCGAAGTTTAACATCGTATTGTGAACTTATTTTATTTTATATATCTTTAATTCATAATTCAAAACAATAAAAATGTGGACTTCATTATAGTAAGTCAATTTGAAAATTGGTTTATGGTTGGCGTTGTCGTAGGCGTTCAAGTGTCGTAGACATAGTCGTTGTCGGAACTAAAAATTTTTGTATTATGTACAATTTTCGACTACGTTTTTTTTTTGTTATAGATTTGAAAAAGCAGGGCGTTCTGGAATAATAAACATTTATAGAATTTTTGAGCTACCCGGTGAAATAAAAAAGGGACTAACATATTTCCCATGACTGATTCCCAGTAAGTAAAAAGTAAAGTGGGAAAGATGCTAAAATAAATATTTGTTCTCTAGATTTGTTAGTTACTTCAGGCTTAGTAAGGATGCACTCAAATATGTTCTGGCTCAAATCACTCCAGACCTCCAGTAACGGGGTTAAATCTACAAGTGTCCCAAACATACTAAAACTAGCAGCAACAATTCGAATACTGGCCGAAGGAAGTTATCAAAAGGGTGCTGGTAACAATTTCAATGTCAGTTTATCACAGTCGTCTGTCAGCAGTGTGTTCCACGAGTGCATAGAAGTATTGCATAATAAGCTGTGTCAAAATTAGATCTCTTTTCCCACTACAGAACAAGAGAAATAAGAAATTAAGGAAAATTTTTTGAAAAATGCTGGATTTCGCTGGTGCTGAACGCACATAAAAATTATTGCGCCAACAATAGAAGAGAGATTCAAATACTTGAACCGGAAAGGCTTCTACAGTCTTAATGTAACGGTGGTATGTTGCATAACTTATAAATAATGCAAATGGCTTTACTCACTGTATTATTGTTGGTGTGTGATCACAAATTAAGAATTAGTTATATATCATTACACCATCAAGGACCCGCTCACGACTCGTTGGTTTGAAATACAAGTGATTTGAAGTGATTTGTTGTTTTAGGTGACGCAGGATATCCACTGGAAAAAAATTTAATTACGCCATTTAGATCAGCTGATGAAGGCTCACAAGAGTGTAGATTCAACAAAATACATTCAAAACCAAGAAATATAGTTGGGGTGTTGAAGAACAGATTTCGTTGTATATTAGGAGCGAGACAATTGCATGACACCCCTGATATGTGTAGGAAAGTAACATCGATTTCTTCAGCATTACACAGTATTTGCATATATTTCAAAATTGAAATGCCGATTGTTAACACAAACCCCTACGTCAAGTCAAATCCCAATGATGTTGAAATGAACGTGTTAGATATGAGATCATCAATAATGCTATCTTTAAAAATTTAATTCATTTTATTATTAATCTATATATATAAAAATCAATTGTTGTTCGTTGGTAATGGAATCAGTTGAGAATGGCTGAAGCGATTTGCATATTTTTTTGTACAAACGTTCGTCATACCCTAAGTTAGGTTTTTACAGAAAAAAATATTGACCAAGCCTACTTTTACGCCCACTATTTCGATTTATCTAAAATCCTTGTATCTGTCATATAATGAAGATATCGGTTTTAAAACTATTACACGACATACTGTTGACTTTCCCTCCAATCCTAAGTATTTATTTTGGGGGCTGAGGAACTGACCACGCCTACTTTTTAATCTATATATAAACTAATTGTTGTTCGTTGGTAATTGAATCAGTTGAGATCGGCTGGAACTATTTGGTTTTTTTTTTAAAGTTCGTCCCACCCCGATTTAGGTTTTTATGCAAAGAAAAAGTGACCACGCCCAATTTTGCGCCGATTTTTTCCATTTATCTAAAAGCCTTATATTTGCCAAATTCATGAAGATATCTGTTCCACAGTTTGTATACAACGTAATCTTGACTCTCTCCCTCCAACCCTAGGTACTACTTCTACTTCTTTAAATTTATATGTAAAAAACTTGAAAGAGTATAGTAACACATCAGCTGAGAACGGCTGGGCCGATTTGACCCCATTTTCTTTTGGTTATTTGTAATTACAGTGGAAACGTTGTCATGAAAGAAAATTTTGAGAAAAATCGCGGAACTGAAAAAAATTGTTATTATTATTGAAAAAAAAAAAAACCGAATCAGATAATCTTGGGGTTAGGAAATTTTTCGGTTGATAAATTAAAATCCCATTTGATATAGCTTAACCATACACAAAGGACCGCAAATAATTGCCCTATATTCCGCAAAGGTTACGATAAAGTTTTAAATTTGATACAGTCCTAGGGGTTACATGAGGAATCATTTGTAGAAAATATGTATCAGGTTGGTCTACATTGTTATATATCCCCTTTCAAATTCCTCAAATGGTGGTAATTTGAGATTTTAAAAAGAAGAACAAATTCTTTCAATTAATTATAAGTATAGGACCATGACTCAGTTACTTCCTGAAAGACCTCTTCGCGGAAATGTTTCAATGTCAATGTTTCGGAGTAGCGCGCATATAAAAGTACCTCCTGATTTTACCTTTTTCGAGGGTGTTGATTATATTTTAGAATCGATTTCACATAAAATGTGTGTTTAGGCTATTTTAGGGGTAGAGAACCATCTTACATGGGCCTATTATAAACAGTTAATGTATACTTTTTAATATATATGCTATATTATTTAGGTTTTTAACTATCAAACTAAAACCTCTTACTGAAAAATAGGATCAGGTTTTTTGAAATACGTATTTATTTCTATTTAATCGAGTTATCATCACTTATGTGAGCACGATTTGTGAATTATTCAGGCATGTCACAGAAATTAATTCCGTTCGGAAGTGGAATTAATTCCGTATTTAGCTTCTCCAGAAAACGAAAAACGAATTTTTTTTCGGAATGGAACCACTTTTGATTTTGAAAGTGGAATTGCTTTTATTTGAGAACTTGTCACTTTTAAATATTCTGAAATTGCTTTAAAGTAATAAAAATCTTGCTTTTAATAATAAATTCACATTAAAATTCACATTTTTGGGCTTTTTATTTCAAAAATTTGTAATTTTTAGTTACAAATAGATATTTAGCAATAAATGAAACCACTTTTTAACAAAGTGTTGCCACATGTTTTTTCTTTAAAACAACCACCCTTTTTTTTAATAATTTGAAGGAATTTTACAATCTGGCACTACGAATGATATACTAAAGCAAAAGTAGAAAAAAGAAAAACAAACCAAAAGTTGTCAAAGCATACAAGATGTAAGAATTTTAAAATGTATAAATTTGGAAATGTTAATTAATTATTTGGTCATTTAGGGGAAAACACAGAAGTTCGGAGCAGGAAATTTTTTTTATAGATTTTATGGAGAGCCACCAGGACATAGCCATAGGATATGTGAAAGGTGATAGAGTTGTTGCTGAAGCATATTGGTCACAACTTACCGAAAAACTGAATTCTTCAGGACCACCCACCAAGGATTGCAATGGCTGGAAAAAGGACGTGGGCAGACTGGAAAGTAAGCCTCAATCACAGAAACAATAGAAACTCCCGGCATTTTTTAAACAAATATTGTGTTTTTCACTGGGATTTAAAGAAATAAGATTACTTTAAAATGCAACATATTTTTTCCCGATTCTCTTTTACGTTGGTTTTGTTTTGATTATAGCAATATTGCCATATTTCAACTAAGAAAAGCGATTCGTTCCCGTTTTCGGAATTCATAAAATCGATCGGAATCTAGAGAAGCTAAAACAAAAAGCGATCGAAATGCAATTACGGAATTGAAATCATTCCGATCGGAATCTGTGACATGCCTGATTATGCTTAAAAAACTATGCATTAAAAGGCAACGCGGACTGGGCCAGCTAGTTATCTTATAAAAAGTAAAATTCATTTTTAATACTTAAATATAAAAGCTATGCTTCAAGTTATTAACATAAATGGGTTCACTGAAATTCACTTATTTCTTCTAATTCCAGACGTCAGTGTGCTGTGATTGTGGTTTTCTCGGTCTTCACTAATTTCAAACCCTTCAAACAGTTCCTCCTCAGTCTCCAGTCCCCAAGTATTGGACGCTGTTGAATTCCAATTGCTTGGTTCCCTGCATTCACAATTGCCTCTAATTGTAACAAGCGTGATTTATTTGCTATTCACCAGTACCTCTTTATATTCATTATATCAGCGTTTTTAATTACATTTTCAAGACTCAATTATTAGCAACAACATTTTCCAAATCAGAAGCAATTTTTGTTAACCTCAAGTATTCTAGATCAAGGTTAAATCCTATGTCCAATAACTTGCAATTGAGGCGCAATATTTAGGTTAATCTATGAACTTTTATACAATATGAACTTTTATAATTTCTACCGAATAAACTGTAATTATACCCTCCACCATAGTATGGAGGGCATATTAAGTTTGCCATTCTGATTGTAATACTTCGAAATATACATTTTAGATAGCACAAAGTATATATTCTCTATCAGCATAAAATTCTACGTCGATTTAGCGATGTCCGTCTGTCTGCGGAAACCACTATAGCTTCCGAACGAAATGAAGTAGTTTGATTAAATTTTACTCAAATATATATTATTCCTTTTTGGTATTGAAAATGGGCCATGTAGGTCCACGTTTTGGTATAGCCTCCATATAATGGTACCTCCCTATTATCGGTATTTTGGTGATTTAAGCGAGATTATTCATTGGAAATGTTTCAAATTTAATATTTGAAGTTCGTAATGGATACTACAGCCTATGACAGAAAATTGTCTGTGCAGGTCCACGTTTTGGTATAGCCCCCATATAACGGTACCTATATTCGGTATTTTGATGATTTTAGCTACATTATTCACCGATTTTTTTAAGTTTAGCATTAGAATATTGTAATGGCTTAAGACAAAAGTTGCCTATGCAAGTCCACATCGTCGTATAGACCCTAATATAACGGCTACATTCGGTATTTTTAAGATTTTAATATAATTTTTAACGGATTTTATTTTTTTGAGAATTGCCAAATTCTTTCCGAATGGTGGAGGGTATTCAAAGTTCGGCCCGGCCAAACTTACTTTTTTTTACGTGTTTGGCATTTAAAGTTTTCGGTGTTGTGAAATCTATACCGGCAATAACTGTTAACTATTGGCTCCTCATTAGGCATAGCTGCAATTTAAAAGCTCGTTAAGATTTTGAATCTTTTGATGCTTTGAGATGACATTTTCTAATCAAAATTGAAATATTTGACATAATTACCATATAACCGCTTGTATAGAAAATATGCAAAATTCCGCGATTTTATCAAAATTTTCAATATAAATTCTCAATTCTCAACAATTCTACACCAATTTAAAAATAAAAGTCGGCATGGTCATTTTTTCTTCCAAAAAAAAACCTAACTCGGGGTAAGACGAACATTTGTAAAAAAAATTGTCCAAATCGGTCCAGCTGTTTTTCAACTGAATGAATTAACAACGAACGACATTTGATTTTTATATTTATAGATAAAAATAACAATAAATAATATTTAGTGGATTTAAAGTTATATCTACTACAAATAAAATTGACAAAATGTTACAAATTGAATCAATGAAAAAATTGTGCTTTTTGTATTGAGAGATCTACATTGGTTATTTTGGTTTGCCTCCTTATTATCACTAAAAATGAAAATTAAATAAAAACACTAAAAAGCAAACGCTTTTTTAAAACTTTTTGATTATGCTAAAAATATTAAAAAAATATTCATATTTTCTAACCTTATCTATTAGAATTAATGAATGTTCCTTTTAGATCGGATAGTGTCTTCAATTCATTAATTACAAAATACTTCTACAAAGCATAGTTTTGAAAATTTGTGGAGGACTTTGAAAATTTGGCAAACCAATCGTAAAGATGTCAAAAAGTGAGCGCAATATACATTAATAAAAAATATGTATCTAATCACAACAAAGTATAACAAAAAGTTGTTAAAACAATAAAACGAAACACTCTTTATACGTGGCGATGTAACATGACAAGCAAAACTTGCAGGCGTATTAAAAACAAAAAAAGTGCTGCGGTCAATGTAAAATATTTACGAGGGAATGTTAAAAATTCGCGGAATGTTAAAAATTCGCAAATATTTTTCATACAACAACTCTCAAAAATGCAGTTATACTAAGTTTCTCGAATTTATGGAATCAAATTGTTTAAACAGTGCTAGTAATTGTTTTTGTTGGGGGTTCAAATATGGACCTACTGTGTAACTCATCGACAGAACATTTAAATCTATTGCATGTCTTCCATAGTGCTCATTGTTTAGTTACATGGCCAGACAGTCAAACAGTAATTGAACATGTATTCAAAAATTTTTTGAATGCAAAACCGTTTTTGTAATGGTATGTAACCTCTCTGATCATAACAAATATGGTGGGAAGTTTAATGTAATGTTCATTCTAGGAATAGATTCAGAGAAAGTACACGAGATGTAATTACAATGATTTCAGGACTGATCCTCATGAACCATTAGTGACAATGGTATATACAGTAGACCCATCGATCTAAGCTAATACATGTGTATTAAAATAGCATAAATATATCTTCTGCGGAAATAAAATAAACAAACAAGTAAAAAGCAGCAAAGTTCGGCCGGTCTGAACTTTTAATAACCTCCATCATTTGGAAGAGACTGGAAAAACTTAAAAAAACTAACGGTATTTACCGTTTGAATGAAAACCGTTATATAAGGGGTATACTAAGACGAGGGCCTGCACACGCAATTTGCCATAGGCGCTAGTTCCCATTATGACCTTCAAATATGAAATTTAAAAACCAATTTCGTTGAATAATATCATAAAAATACCGAATATCGGGTGGTATCGATTTATGATGGATATATGAAGACGTGGACCTACATACACAATTGAAGTATCCATCGCGAACTTCACACACGAAATTTGTCTCTAATACCTATAACGTCTCTAATACCTTAAAAATACCAAATATTTCGAGGTACCGTTATATAGGGGTTATACGAAGACGTGGACCTGCATAAGTAATTTTTTGTCATAGGTTATAGCACCCATTAAGATCTTCCAATACGAAATCTGAATCGATTTCGGTCTATAATGTCGCAAACATAATCGAAATAACGAATATTGAGAGGTATGTGTATTTTGAGGTGTTACAAACGGAATGACATTGTTAATATACCCTCCATAGTATGGTGGAGGGTAAAAAATACGAGTAAGGAATCACATGAGTCCATGTATTAAATCGAATCTTCATGATCTTGATCTGATGCGTTTAAACTAAAAACTTCTAAGGCAAAGAAGGAAATATATAATCCCGGATGTTGAAACACGATTAAAAATGATCAGTAAGGTGATAAAAAGGCAGTACAAGCTAGCATGACTAGCTTTTATCAAGATAATCTGGAACAACTGCAATAAAACCCAAAGAGAAGTTGTACTTCTTAGAATGAAGCTTTGTGAAAGAGCACAAAACAAAATGTTAAAATTAAGACTGAATATAGAATTATAATGAAGGATGAAACAGAAAAGTGAAATTTGCTGAATAATTATTTTGTAATCAATCTCTGGAGGCAATTGCAACAAATTCAGCACATCTTAAACACAATAAGAGTACGGGACATCACAATATCGTGACGGAGCTACAACGTAGTGGCGTCAATGAAGGTGTGGCGTATTCAGACACTATTTCGTGACTTCCATCGGATAAAACATGGATAGTTTACAATTGCTTACGAATTGAACAAAAATATGACTTTATTCTACCTGAGGAATATAAGACATTGTGGTGCTGTAGTAAGCATGCCAGCTTTGCACTCTGAACACTTGGGTTCGATTCCTAATACAGACATCACATTTTAAAAACGAAACAAATTATGTGTGAATTTTTCGGCTAATTAGTATAAGTTGCAAACAAGCGTACATTGGAAAAGTGTCAATAAAAAGAAATACTTAAATCTGGATTAAAAAAATATTTTTTCGTTTGCAATAACTGTCGAGGAAGTGACTTCCGTAAAAACTAGAAGTTAGGCTGTATACGTAATTTAGTCACGCTCAAAAATATCGTGGGTGTGGTTCATTTCTTCCCGAAGGATGTTCCTTCCGAGGTGAGAAAGCGATATCAAACGCGATGATTTCTATCGCTTTGGTGTGACTTTTAAGCGATTTGCGGGATATATTTTGCTTGCAGGGTAATCATAAATGGAGAAAGTTATTTAGACAATTTTGAAAATGATTTTTGGGCTTATATTCCATTTCGTTTTATAAGTTTATTTATTAAAAATAAATAAATAAACAACCACTTATTGCATCCGTTCATTTTTATATTCATTGAACATCTTATTTACAAAAACGGACACGACAGGTATCTTCCAGTCACATCATTTCTAAAACCATTGAAGTGCATTCTGGTGTTCCTCAAGGTGTTAATTTAGGTCTTTTGCTTTTTGTTCTATACTTAAATGATCATCCATCGGTAATTAATTTTTCTAAAATCTTAATGTTCGCAGACGATGTTAAACATTATTGTAATATTGAGTCAGACGTCCAAGCTTCATGTTTACAAATTGATCTACACTCTCTTGTGAAATGGTGTGATGTTAACGGAATGTCGCTTAATCTCA